GTTCAATGAATGCATGACTACTACGACGGCTCACACGAGACACCACTCACTGCTTCACAATTGATGCGCATTTCAAAGACTTACTATTTATTGGATACAGTATTGTATCCAAAGTATACACAGTATTACCATTACCTTCATGAGTGTTCAACAATATTCAAGTATTTTTAATTAGTAATCTTTATTCGACCTTGTTCAATTTATTAGTCTATATATTACTTAACTTTTTGTTACATTAGTTGGTTTATATTTATTATAAGTAATTTATAAATGAGTCTGGCAACTTCTAACTATAGTAGTTACTTGAACCCAACACTGGATTCTATACATAATTTAAATATACTTTCATAAAGTGATTGTGGAGATACTTAATAATGACGGAATTCAATTCACCTAGCATATCATATCAATTAGAATAGCCCTCAGTATTGCTATAATAAAATGGATACAAATTTATAATTCTAGTCAAAAGTGAAACTTTCACAAAAGCCAACCGTATATATCACTATTAATATAACACATTATACGACCTTACTTCATTTTATTATAACAATTACAGTATTACTCTAATAATATTAAACATAAATTTCAATTTCATTAATATGTATAGTAACAGGATAAATGTCATTTAATGCTATTGTAATAATTTAATGATAATTCCTAAATAGTTTTTGTATCGTCGATGCCCTCATTCCTAAGTTTTTAACTAATTTATAGGTACAGTAGTTGCAAAGTTATCTGACTTTTGTGTTCAACAATTGTTAACAAATGTATTGATGAATAATTTTGACGAAAATATAAAAATTTGAGTCTAATTAGAAATTTTATTCAATTTTAACGGTTATGTACAGGAATTAAGATATTTGATAAGTGAGTGACAAATGACTTAAGTTTTGTGTGCATTTGAGGCGAGAAAAAACGATAACTTTATAATAACTAATAAATTAGTCTATCTGTCCATACAAATAGTGGTTTATTAAATACTATCTAAATATGTTTATAATTAACAACAATTGCATACTTTATTAGTTCATTTCATAGATATTTTACAATGAAATCATAAATAATTTAAATACACGAAACATTTTGTTTGGGGGACAGAACTGTCGACTATTCAAAGTATTCATTAAGTTAAAGATATAACAAAATATATAATCTATCTGTTTGTACACAAGTGGGAAGCATTGGTTTCTATTAAAATATGTTTGGATAAATGAAAAGTAAGTCAAATACCGGTAATTGTTTGCTTGTATAACATATGGTTGTCTAAATATTGCCTCAAATTAAACAATTTGTAAATACCTTGGTTCATTTATTTATTCCGATTACGAGTCAAACAATACCTACTTTTAAGTAACTTTTGACACATTTTCTGTTTCCCTGCGATTCTTGTTGAGTGCAAACCTTTGCCACAATTGCCACAACTCTTAATGCCTTTCATTCCGAAGCACTTACGACACGATTGACTTCGAGTCCGCTTCTCAATGAACTTATCGCTCGAATTCAATGTATTTCTTCGGATTCTTTTGGAAACCGATATCTTATTGACGGCTGTTTTAGTTGCAGCGCTTGTATTCACACCCCTTTTCACTTGGTTTAAAACCTTTTCATTAGTATTCTTGTGAACAGTTTTCATAGTTTTGTCGGATTTAAGTTTCCTGTTTGAGGACAAAGTGTTTGATTTGTTAGGAGTCGAGCCCTCGGTATCTGATTTAGCCTTTGAAGTATTCAAATGACTTCTGGATTTCAATTCACCGGTCATTGCATTCAATGTCTTCTGTTTGATGTTTCTATTCGTCTCTCTCGAAGGCATGGGTTTTGCGTTCATTTTAGTCTTGTTTTCATTCAATGCCTTTTTGTTGCGATTGTGAGCCAATATTGAACTCATTTTTGAATAATTTGTCAATTTTTTCGAATCGATTATGAATTTGGATTTGCATTTATGAATGAGACAGGCCTTACACCTGCCATTCGGCTCGCATTCACTGACTTTCAAATTGCATTTGCCTTTCATTCAATTAAAGACAATATTAATTTCATCATTTTTAAAATACATAAACTGTTTGTTAAGATCAATGTTTACCGAGATTTTCGCACATATAGGAGACGGGCTTTACTAGATATTTGGTGTAGAACTTAGCGCACCCGACACAACTGCAATTCAAATCATGGTTTAGAGTCTAATAACAGTCTAATAACAAGCAATACCTGTACACTCCAAACCTCCTTTGGGTGTATTTGTAGAACTTGGTGGCCCCACATATTTCACATGTTATAAAGCCTGACTTAATTGATGAACCACTGGTTTGTCCCAAAACTTCAAATTATCGTTTAATTAATTGAAAAGTTATTCAATAGTAGACTATTAGTCTTAACACAAATATGACATACCTTTCGACTTGAAGGTTGCTTTTGCTTTAGGATTACCCGAAGCCAAAGGTTTGTTGCCTTTCTTGGGCTTCTGGTTCACCACTTTGGTTGTGGTCTCAAACTGTTGCTGTAATGTCTTCAGACCTGAGGGCACGTCAAATGTGAGTGTTTGAGGGGCTGGTGGGTCGGGCATGTCTTCCCAACTGGAATCAGTGGATGAATGCAATGATCCAAAAAATGAGACATTTGTTGTCATAGATTTAGGATTTGGCGACAAAGAGGTGTTTGTCGTATGGTTTGGATGATTAGTCGAAGTACTTTGCAAATCCTGATCGATATGTTTGGTCTGATAGTGGATCTGAACCTCAGGTATTGTCTCATATATCACATCACATATCATACATCGATAAACCTAAACAAGTT